GGAGTGACCTTCCAAGGAGTTCAGTGGCTTGCAGGAGTCATGCAGTCAGTAAGCTGGCAGAGCTGGAACTCAAGTCCTGGGATCTGTCTGCAAAGTGCACTCTTGTTCTGCTTCACTAAGACAAAAGACAGGCAAGAGAGTCACCTGTGAATCAGGCACAAAGCCATACCCATGCAGGAAGCGGAAGCTTCATTTGCAGCTTGTGGCATCTGAGAACGCACACCACTGCTGTTCCCACCACCAGTTAATATTGGCCTCACAGTCCTGTGCTTGGATGGTGTGATTTCCATGGAGGCAGTCCATCCTAGAGTGCAGTGCAAAATCCACCCTGTGTGTCCGACTCGGCCTTTGTCCTTTGCCAAATTACTTAACCTCCCTGGGCCTCAGTGTCCTCATCTATAAAATGTGGAAAATAATCATATCCATCTCTGGGTTTGTTATGAGGAGTAAATGAAATACTGTGGGTAAATTATCTAGCATGGCAGCAGGCACACACTACATGCTTAATGCTACTACCCAGTTGTCGATAAGAAAAAGAGGGAGATGAGAGAGACGCTGATTAGCTTGGCTCTTTAAAAGGCACCAAAAGAATACATTTGGAAGCCTCCAAATGAGATTTTTCTGACCTCACTGGTTGTTTGTGGATGAGAGATACTTCCCCAAATTCCTCTATTCTTCCCTAGGGAACAGAAAAGGAAAGCCAAATGAAAATCAAAGGAGGGCATCCAGTTGGGCCCATCACAGAGTCTTCAGAATACAGTTTATACTGGGCAGACGGACAGGCCAGGCGGAGGGGAGGTGTTGGGGGAGGGCTGGCAGCTGAAGCACCCAGATGTAACTAGTTTGTTACTAAAGAGCCAGTGACGCATCACCGGCTGCTGGCTACAGTGGGCACTTGCCCTCAGGATGATCATGCCATTGTTCTGCCATGTCACAGGCCTTTTATTAAGGGAACAGCATTACGTGGGGTGAAGGTAAAGATGAATGCTGGTGGAGGTGAAAAGTTCACAACAGTTGCCATGGGGATGACCTTACAAGCTTGGTGGAGGTTCCCATGGAAACCAGCCTCCAGATGCAGCATTAACCATCCAGGTCTCTATCTTTCATCAGACTTGGATGGTTATGCTGCATCCCAAAGTGAGAGGCAGTAGAGAGACGAGAAAGGGTAGAAGCATATCTCACCCTTCAACTCATTAACCATCTCCCCAAGTCATCTCAAAAGCTGCCTTCCTGGGAAGGATTTTCCTTATTCCATCTCTTTCCCCTTTAATTCCTTTTGTATGGCGCTCATGGCTATCATGACTCCTATCGCTTTGATATGAGACAATGAGATTTAAAAAGCTCATAGAAGATTGTGTCATCCTGAACAAAGCTCAACATCAACTTGGGGCTCTGCACATGCTTCAGCTCAGAGACCCAGCCTGCAGGCTTCCATTTCTGTGAGTGAAGCTGTGGTGGTCCCTTTCCTACAAGTGGTGGCTGAATTCTTCTTATGCTGCTGTTGGTTGTTCTTCTACTGAAGTACCTTCATGATCTTGCAGTGCCCACTGAAATCAATCCACACGCTTCCCTTATCATCACTGACTCAAGCGTGCCCCTGACTGCTCTTCACCCAGGCCCTCTACAAAATCACCGGTGTTTTCTCGCTCTCCTCTCACGCCTTTCATCTTTACATCACCATTCTATTGTTTATCCTTTAGAAATTCCTAATCTGCCTTTCTCTCTATTTGAATATGGCTCCTTTCCAAGTTCTGTCTCTTTCTTGAGGGCCAGATGAACTCATGTTAGCCTTTCTCCTGAACTTCGATACCATGCCATCTTTTATTCTTCTCCTGTCTTTTCTACTCTAAAATGTTAACATCCTGGGGGACAGCAGTCAGATATTTTACTTCTCAATGGTTCCCTGAATATTTAAAACAATTCAGGCATTCAGTGGCTTCTCAAAACTGCTTCAATTTATGACAGGTTTTATAGCAGTTGTTCATGGCATTATATCAAGTGTAGTGAGTGATACGAAGATGAAGTAGACCTCCCCTTTTACACAGATAATCATATAGTCAGGGTAAGCCATAACAGAAGCAGCAACTAAATTCTACAGAAGAAGGCAAGAACAGTTAAGAAGGGGAGTTTGTATCTGTTATGGGGAGAAAGAAGTTACGCCTTGGAAAAAGTAATACTTGATGCAGGTTTTGGAGAAGGGGTAGAATTTTAGAGGTGCAGAATGGAAGAAAGCACTCTAGAGAAAGTGGGACTCAGAGGGTGGTTTGGCTGAAATATAAGGTGCAGGAGAAGGAAGCATTGGGGCAAGTGATGAGTAAGTTAGGTTGGATCTGGGTGCATCTAACACCAGGGAGGAAATTTATCTTGAGGGAGCCAGAAATGACTGAGCAGGGGAGTGACGGCTCATCCTGGTCACATGGCTAAGCTGAATTTGGCTGAGGGAGCTGGGACCGGGAACCTGCACAAAGAATGTCTTAAGGAACTGGACTCCTCATCTTTTCGCCAGCAACAATACAAATTATGGAGTCCAGTAGTCACCTGTGGACATGGCCAGCCAACCACCAAATGATTTCCTATCAAACCTTCTGTCTCTGCTCTCAAACTTCCCACCCTGTGGGGAACTTACTCCATAGACCAGCTCTCCCACCATGCCATTCCAAGCCTTTGTGTCAGGGTCGCGGGCTCCATATTTTCCATCGCTGACAATCTCAAGACGGTAGGAGTAGCCCACATGCTTGGCAATCTCTGCGGCCAGCTCCACGCAGTAGCCCTCGTAGCGGTCATTGCCCTCAAACTGATTGGCATTCTTCTTGAGCATCACATAAGGATCTTCCTGGTGGAGAAATGGGGACACGGAGAATGTGGGTTATACAATCACTCATGAGCAGGGAAGACTTTGGCATGGCAGAGGAGGATGTTGCCAACACCGGTTAACTTTGGGGAAGTCTGTCTAGCCCCTAAATCCACTTCCTGCATTTCTGTTCCCCCACCCCCGTCATCACAAAACTTGGGGCAAGGAAACAAGCTGTTAAGATAAGAATGTTTCACCATTGAGATGTGGTGTACAGCTTTCAAATGACATTCCAGGAGCCCTTGTATTTTCTGAAGGCATCTCTGGGGACGCTTGTTGGGGAAGTGGACCCTAAATAGGCTCTGGGTTTCTTATGTCAGTCACTGGAAATAACAGCAGCTTCTCTTATATCTGCTTTAGGTGCTGGATTTTAGACTTCCTTTGAAAATGGCTTCTACTGAGGGAGGATGGAGTCTGAGAACCCCCACAATTTAGTCTCATCCATCTTTCACTTCTTGGGAAACTATTGCTCAAAGGAAGGTAAGTGACTTATCCAAGGGCATAAAGTGAAATCATGGTAAAGTCAGAGTGCAACAGTGTTCTGACTTATAGAAAATTCCTTTTCCCCACTCCCTCTTTATACCTATGGCGGAGTTTGGGCAAGGAAAATGCCCAGCTTTCACTTCTGGGGACACCGATGTGTGGGTCTAGTTTGCACCCCAGATAATCTCAGTGAAGGACCAAGTACTCACTAGGATTGTAGTGACGATGTACGTTCTATTCTGGACACTTGAATTATCCCCCCCAGCTTGAGCATCAGTAGCTGCAGGGACAAACTTGTCATCTTCATTCCAGTAACCAATCTGTTGAAGAGAGGAAGGTGGCAACATAAGGTGAGCCAGGCTCCTCAGGCCTGGCCTACTCTGGGCAATCCAGCTGACATCAGACAGGAAAGCAACGAGCTCAGCATCACACTGTGCAGTACTGGACACACCAGGCTCTGAAGCATTGGCAGGTGAAAACAAGAGGCAAGATGCTCTCTGGGTCCTTCCAGTTCCACTCCCATGAAAATCCTCAC